GGTGGGCAGCACACCTGTAGTCCCAACTACTCCGGAGGCTGAGGCACGGAGAGAATTGGCGTGAACCTGGGCAGGCGGAGGTTGCACTGAGCTGAGATCACACACACTGCACTCCAGCCTAGGCGAAAGAACAAGACTCCATCTCAAAAAAAAAAAAAAGAAAAGAAAAAAAAGAAAAGCCATATGCCCTGTCTTGAAGTTTCCTACAAAAACCCAAGCCTGACTTATTGCCATTAAGAACCGTTATTAATGACTGTATCAGTCTCTCTTTCTCTCTCTCTCTCTCTATATATATATATTTTTTTTCTTTTTTTGAGGGAGCCTCACTGTGTCACCCAGGCTGGAGTTCATTGCGCAATCTCAGCTCACTGCAACCTTTGCTGCACTGGTTCAAGCGATTTCTCCTGCCTCAGCCTCCTGGAGTAGCTGGGATTACAGGCACCTGCACACGCCCGCTAATTTTTTATTTTTGTGTGTTTTTGTAGAGACGAGGTTTCTGCCATGTTGACAGTGGCTGGTCTTGAACTCCTGGACGCTCAAGTGATCCGCTTGCCTCGACCACCCAAAGTGCTGGAACCACGAGCGTGAGCGTATCAGTCTAAACCTTTAAAATTAGAGCTTAAAATTAAGTCAGTGTTTTGGGCTTCTTCTCAAGGTAGAGAAGGATGGAGCTAAAGGTGAAAAGCAAATTCAATACCTGCTTTCCCTTCTAAAGATCAATGTGAACTTGTACACAATTTGCACTTGGCTCACAAACGGTCCAAATTTCATCTCTTTCAATCTTGGTTCCTTCACTCTTTCCCTTCGTATGCGAAGGTTGGATTATCTGGAATATGATTTGTCGTTCCTTTTTAAAAGAAAGATGAAAAATGTAAACTGTGGGCTCCTCACTGCTTATGTCAGAGCAATACATGTGTGCTTTATATAAACTAACCATTTGTCTATTAATGTTTGCAAAGTACTCCGTAGACATGAGGCATTTGGGAGACTCTGGAGAAATGTGGTGCCTTTGGAGAGAGGATCAGAGAATGAAGAAACCAATAGTAAGAGAAATTCCTTTATGTGCACATGTATAATAGAATGTGAAAGAAAATCTTCAAGTTGAGCATCGAGCTGCCTTTTCCCTTAGGTTGAAAGTTAGCCAGTAGGAAGGAAACATTTCCAAGGAGACTAGGTAACCTTGCCTGCAGTGTTTGTTTCTACACTCTGTTTTACTTGTTCGTGTGACAGAGAAAGAAAACAAAGCTGATGGACTTTGGACTGGACAACGTAGCAGTGTGTCCCCAGATACCAGCTTCCAGATGATCTCCCTTGGGTCTCCCAGATGGCACAGAGGTTTTCTGGTGACTCTGGTCACTGCATCAGCCTGAGCAGACAGGATCTCAGAATCTCCCAAGTGCACGTGTCTGCCTGCCCACGTCTCCACGATTTTGTAGAAAGGTGGCTGAGCATGGGATAGGCCCTTAAAGACTGTAAAGCGTGATTCTTTGTCATGTGGACATTAAGCCTAAGAAGAACAACTTTCTGAAAAAAAAGAAAAATCATAATGGTTTTTGCAGCGCTACTCTGCTAGCCAGAGCAATCCATGGATTCTGTGGAATCATTAGGATGTACTTCCCCTGGAGAAATACATGTGCTGGTCTCTTGGCACGAGCAACTCTAAAAGTTTACCTAGCCAACACCTCAGGACACTAGCCAGAAGCCCTCGTTATGTTTCCACTCTTCCAAGGAAGGAAGAAAGAAAAGAGGAAAGGAAGGGAGGGAAGGAGGAAAGGAGGGAGGGAGGGTATTGGTTCTTTTAAATAAGAAAGACAAATTATTTCAGATAACAGCAGCTTCCCTTAAATGGTATTTAAGCTTTAGCTCTGTAGTCCTAAATATCTATTCTAACAGCAGTTATTACTCTGTGAGCTCTGCACTGTCAATCTAGAGAAAAGAATCTTGCCACTAAGAAGGAAAATTTCAAAGTGAGAGTATGCTTTTAATGCACACATATAGTACAGACATTCAATTGTACAAATATAGCAAAGAACAAGAGAGGAGCGTGCAGCTAAGCAGTAAGCATCCACTCCTGCCCCTGGTGTTCAATGCCAGCCTGATGGTCTCCAGCTAATGTTCTCTCCGCATACCCAGCAGGAGCTGAGCACATACCACAGGTCACCACGTTCACGCCTTTGCTCTTGCTCCTCCCACCCCTCGGAATTCCCCACCCTTCTGTCTTCTGGTTGAATTCATACTCTGACCTCAAGCCTCCTTCTCAGAGCGTTCTGCCTTTTCTATTATTCTTGTCATATTTTTCCTTTATTATCGTTACATGTATGCTGGATGCATCTTCTTCAATGAAACGTAGACTCCTTGCATGGAGGAAGTGTCTCCTTCTCTTCTTTGAGTCCCTGTGACCCTAGCAGAGGCTGAGTTGAATCGTAACTAAAATGTTCCAGGTCTCCTCATCATTTCCACTGCTGTCTTCTATTTTTATCCCATCACCTGTAGGAACCATGTCGGAAGAACTAACTGCTAGAGTTTCTCCAAAATGTCGCTGCCAGTGGCAATCTAGTTGCTGTCTTGAGTCCATCCTGCCTCTTCACTGCCCACTCCCAAGTCCAGGTCATGGTCATTTCTCACCTAGAAGATTGCAATTGCTTCTTTACTGCTCTCCCCACTTTCACGGATACTGACCCACAGCCACTGGACACTTCTTCTTTTTTGTTTTTTGTTTGTTGTTTGTTTTGTTTTGTTTGTTTCGTTTTTAGACGGAGTCTTGCTCTGTCACCAGGCTGGAGTGCAGTGGCATGATCTCGACTCGCTGTAACCTCCACCTTCCAGGTTCAAGCAATTCTCCTGCCTCAGCCTCCCGAATAGCTGAGATTACAGGCATGCACCACCACGCCCAGCTAATTTTTTTGTATTAATAGTAGAGATGGGATTTCACCATGTGGGCCAGGATGGTCTCAATCTCTTGACCTCGTGATCTGCCCGCCTTGGACTCTCAAAGTGCTGGATTACAGATGTGAGCCACCGCGCCCAGCCTAGACATTTCTTAACTCATGTACTAGGCTATGTCCTTCCTTTGACTAATACCCTTTCTTCCTGGCTCTTACCAAATTTTTAAATTATGCAATTTATAGATTTGCTTGGTTTTTGTCTGTTTCCTCCATGTGCCTTAAGCTCTGTGGTGGCAAGAACCATCTCTGTGTGGCTCACTGACTCCCTGGCCTCTACGTGGCACTTGGAGTACACAGATGCTCCCAGACCTTTGTTGAATTCATAGATTAAAAGTGCAGCTGTTCTCATTTTCCTTCATGTTACAACCCTTGCTCTAGCCCCCTTTTTGCCTTGCTCCTGTTTCTGATTTCTCCTTCTTCTTCTTCTTTTTTTTTTAGAGACAGGCTCTTACTTTCACCCAGCAGGCTGGAGTACAGTAGTGTGATCACAGCTCACTGCACTCCTGAACTCCCAGGCTCAAGTGAT